TTAGTAAGGTAGTTAATGTGCTTTGATCCAAATACCTTTTTTCCCAGCTTGTCATTTGAAGGCACAGGCAGTATACTTACACTGGATTTTTAGGACACAAAGGTAGATGTTTAGCATACCCATAGTGTACTGACATGAGCACAGTCTGCTCTGTTGTGCTGTGACCTGGAGTTGAGTCATGGCACCTTCTTCCCCCAGACAAGTGTATCAGGTCTTACCTCTTCTACCAAGCAGACAGTCAGCCCTCCTGTAGAAGTGGGGGCTAAGGGCATTTGCCAGGAAAATGTGGGTTGGGGTGGGGAGAGGAGCTTGTGAGGATGTGTTGGTGCTGGAGAGAGTGGGTAGTGCAATGTGTCATCCTGAAATTAGGACATAGTGCAGATGCGTGAGGCAAGGTGTGGTCCCTGGTTTGAGCATGCTTACAAGAGTGCTTCAGCTACTGAAAACTTGTACTGAGCATAAGGACAGTTTTAGTCCTTTTTTGTTTTGGTGAAGATGCTATAAAGCAAGGTGGTGAACTTAAGAACAAAAAGAAGTAGGATTTGAAGGGATTTACTAGATTCTGATCAGATGACATTGTCACAGTCATGGTAGAAAATTTGTTTGATATAGTTACTAGAACTTGGAACCCAATAAGAGCAAAACTGAAAATATTTCAAGGAGATTGTGAAGCCTTTTGATTTTTTTTAGATTGCTTAGTATGCCTAGCCCAAAAATGCATTAGGAAGGATACCTAGCTCTTACCTAACTTTCATCAATAGATCTTAAAGTAGATATTTCATGCAATAAATTTGTAGAAATTAATGTTTTGATACATATTTTTTACCTTTGCAGAAACTGATACACAAGAGAGCAAGTGGCTTATCCAGAATCACTGGACAGACAGATAGAGAGTGTTTTTGGTGTAATTTATTGGTATGTTTGAAATGACATAGTTTAAATGCAGAAAAAGCAAGTTACTTGTTAACGGAATAGTTTTCTGAGGGCAAAGATGAGTGATCAGCTTAACTAATTGCCACACTGGGGACACATTCACATTTTTTTCATGAATGCAAGTTCTATTGTGGAAAGACAACTTTTATCTTCTTATATGATTGGGATAATAATGTTTATTAAATACATTAAATATCCATGAGTATGTATTTTCTTTCTTTTAATGGACAGCCCATTTCCACAAGAACTCTGCATAAACTGGTAGGGGAAAGGCAGATCAAATTTTTTTACATATAGTTTTAAAATATTAATCCAGATTATTCTGGGACATCTGAGAATATGTGGTGTTATTCACAAGATACATTTTTAAATTATGTTAGAAATAACTGGAGGACCTGGTTTTAATTTCTCCAAAGTTAGTAAAAATAAGATTGAGAGATGTCTGAGGTCATTGTCTTTTTTACAGAGTCAAATGGAGAGGAGAAAGTTACTTTTCAATATCAGAAGCTAAGAATTAACTAAAGTTAGAAGCAGAGGTTTTTGAAAACCTCTAGCTGAAACAGATTTCCTGAAAATGTTTGTTTAGTTGTTATTAAGACAAAATTAAATTTCAAGGTGTTTCATGCTTGTTCAGTGGGGCAGAAAGGAAAACTAATTAAAATAGTTTGTGCTTGTGGTGGGTGGACCCTGGCTGGGTGCTAGGTAGCCACCAAAGCTGCTCTATCGTTCCCCTCCTCAGCTGGGAAAATATGATGGAAGACTTGCAGGGCAAGATAAGGACAGGGAGAGATCATTCACCAGTTACCGCCATGGATGAAACAGACTTGACTTGGGGAAATTAGTTTAATTTATTAGCAATCAAATCGGAGTAGGGTAATGAGAAATAAAACCAAATCTTAAAAAACACCGTGCTGCCACACCGCCTTCTTCCTGGGCTTAATGTGACTGCTGATGTTCTCCATGGCTGCAGGGGCCCAGCTGCCTCACCGTGGCTGCACCAGGGGCGGCAGGGGAACCTCTGCTCCTCCCCTCCTTCTGCACTGGCCTTGGTGTCTGCAGGGTTGTTTCTCTCACATATTCTCACTCCTCTCTTTGGCTGCAGTTGCTGTTACACAGGTTTTTCTCACTTTCTTAGATAGGTTCTCACAGAGGCACTACCTCAGTTGCTGGTGAGCTCGGCCTTGCCCAGCAGCGGGTCCAGCTCGGAGCCAGCTGGCATTGGCTCTGTCGGACACAGGGGAACCTTCTTGCAGCTTCTCACAGAAGACACCCCT